AAGTAATTTTCTGAAGATGTGTCTCTTGTTATCCTAACATCAGTAAACAGCAGCCCAGTGTATTTTCCCATTTGTGGTGACCTGCTCATCCAGATTCTCTATGTATTCCAGGGACACAGTTACTAAATTTAAAGCTGCAAACAGATTTGTTCTCTCAGCACACTTGTTAGAAACACTTAGTTTTACATTGCCAATTTTCAAATATTCCTCTAAATTCTGGCTAGGCAAAACAGTAAGGAATCGGTGTAACATTGATGAATTAATGTCTTGCTCACTAGAGCAAGCTCTTATTTTCTTCTTTAGCACTTATTGGGCCAGACATTTTAGAAGAGTTTAATCAAAATCCTCATCAAAAGCCAAATGAGTGGATTTTAAAGAAAGTTTAATTACAGTGGTCAAACCACTCAGCATGATTTGCTTGATTTGATTAACGTAATGAGGAGCACATTTAATGAGAAGTGCATTAATTCATTCAAACAAGTGGTTTTATCAGAGGTATTAAGCATCCGCTCAGATTATGTACAGCAGAAACTATTATAGCAAAAATTAACTGAGGTCAAAGCAGCAGACATGCCATAATTAGAAGCTCTCAGCTGTAATCTACCATTTGAACTTGGGCAGTGCTCATCATGACTGAAAAAGCAGGGTCCCCATTTAAAAAAGCCCCCAAAACACAGGGTTTTGCTTCCATTCCACAGCTGGGATCTCCATCTCTTTTTTTTTTTCAGATGTTCAGAAGATTCAGGAACTGGAATGGAATCCTCTGAGCCTCAGATGGTCACACAGGCAGACATCACTAGTAAATAATAAAGCAAGAGCTCAAAGGACCCCTGATACCACCCCCCAGAAATGGGGGGGTGAAATGGAGTGTTCCTGATCTGCTCTGTTTTAACTCATTTCTCTGTGATGTTTTGGGGACGCTCCTGTTTCTAACTTGGAATAGAGTGATTTTGGAGGACAATTACTGTTTTTCTTCTGAGGAAGGAGGCCTCCTTCATGGAAAAGTAGAGAAATTGGCCTCAAGTGGGAAATATTTGAGAAAAAGAAGAGTCCCCTTTACATCTTACTTTCTTCAATTGCCTTCTTTAGATAAATGTCAGCAAATACATCCCAGCTTTCCCATTTCAGGACTCCTCCCAATGGGGTTTACACAGCAGCCTTCACCTCCACCCTCCCTGCTGGCATCACTTCTCTGGTGTCACCTGCTGTATCTCCTGGCAGCTGCAAATGCTCTTCTCTCTTCTATACTGTCCTGATCACCATCACCTCTTTGACTTCTGCCATGCTCCCTTGGCTTTAGTCAGTTCTTGGCTCGTTATTCCTGTAGTGTCTGTGCTTCCTCTAGTTGAGCTTTGTACAGCATCCATATAGCATTGAAACAGCTCTGATTTTCATGTGCTCTACTTCTAAGCCTGCTTGGCTGCCTGAGCACTTTTCAAGCACTGTTGAACAGTGGACTTAAGCACTATCTATTGCTCAGCCCTTCATCAACTATCACCAGCAATTGGCACAGTGCCCAGCTTGGATACTGTTCTCTAAGTGGGCAGGAGGCTGGACGAGGAGCAGAGAAATGGAAAACAAGCCCAGTTGTAGACAGGATTCTTCTGGGGTAGGTGCATACTGATGAAGGAAGAGGCATGGAAGCCATATTTTGCCTCTTGATTATTCAGCAG